ATAAATAAACGTTGAAAAAAAAAATTAAAAAAAAATAAATAAATTCAGTTAAACATTCTTAATGGCGTTTTAACAAAAACTACACACACACACACGCGCGCGCGCGCACACACACACACACACACACACACACACTCTTGACTTTGGTTTACTTAGGTGTCCCTAAATACACAAACTCCCTTGGCATTAACCTGTTTTTTCCTCCTTGCCTCCTGTTGATGGCCATTCTTTTCACCTCTCCACTTGATTCTGTTCCTTCAAGTTCTTTAAAGAACTTGCCTTATCACCTAATCTTTCTCTCTCATATCGCAAGCTGTTTCTCAGCTTCACATTCCCTCACCTTCTAAACATATTCAAGGCTCTTCCATCTTATAATGGAAAGTAGGTAAAATCTCCTTCCCTTAGAACACTGTCAAACTATCTTTCTCTTTCACTTCAGAGCTAACTTTATGGAAAGAGTTGGAAAAAGTTATTTGCTCTTACTGCCTCTGTATCTTGACTTCCTGTTTATTTCTCATTCTCACACTTGCTGGCTTCTGTTCCTCAGAGCCATTGAACTACTCTTGCCAAGCTCTCCATTTCCCCCCTTATTTTGTGATCTAATGGGTGCTTTTCAAGGTTTACCTGACCCTATTGTGGTTCCTGATAAATATTGTTGAGCTCATTCTTGGGCTTTGTGACACTTCTGCCTCTCTGGCTGTTCCTTTCCTATCTCCCTTGTAGGTTCCTCTTTTCCTAGTGATCTTTTGAATGTTGGTTATCCCCAGGGTTTTGTCTTCTCCCCTTTTTTTTTGCTTATCTGTACACTCCCAGAGCTTCACTTGTTATCAGTATGTGGAATACTTAGGAACCTACATTTCCTGCCCTGCTTTTCTGAGTTCCAGATCACTTTGCCCTCTCGCCTACTGGACATCTCCATTTGAATATGCCCTAGGCTTCTCATATTTAACATGTTGAAAATAGTCCATTTTATTCTTCCTCTATTCTCTTTTTCAGTGAATGGTGTACCATCTTCAGTCAGGCAAGCTAGAGACCTGAGATTATTAACATATTGAAGAGATTATTAAAATATTCTCTTCTTTTCCATCTATACTGACATAGGCCAGCCACATATGATTTATTCTATGGGTACCACAGAGGCTTTAAGTGGACTTTCTTGCCTTTAGCCTCTTGTTCCCCCAGTGCATCTGTTAGGAGGTGCATGGATGGAAGGATTTTTTTGTCACTTAACAAATATTTATTGGGTGCAGACCCATGTCCTGAGGGCTGAAGATACAAATTTGAATGAATCATGGGGGAAGCAGGGAGGCCACTAAACATGGGAGTATAATACAACTTTAAATGCACAGAAGCATGCTTAGCTTATTAAAATATGGCAAGTATACAGATAGTCTCAAGGTGGTGTAGGAGTCAAAGGTGTTAGGAGGAAGGAGGAATAACTCTAAGTGAAATGGTTGCTTCATGATAAGGAGTCAGAGGGAAAATAGATAGTTGAGTCCTTGTGATTTGTTTCTCTTTTATGAAGATGTTTGATGCTGTTGGACTCATGTGCTGGGTTCTTTTTCTAATTGAGGCAGTGTGTCTCTGTGGAGTGGTGATGGGCCACCTGCTGGGCTTGGGCTTTAGACTTCGGCTTCTTGACCAAATCTAAAATTGAGTGGGTAGTCAGATTAGAAGATCCCCAAATCTCTTCAATGTGTAGAAGTCTTTGGACCTAGGATAAGGCTGCTAGTGGGATATGGGGGGTTGGGTCTTCAAAACAAGATAAGACTTTTTATGGATTCAGGGATTCAGTTGTAAATGTTGAGCAATAATCTTGCTTTTCCTTTCTTTGGTTTTCTTCTTTTTTCTTACAGTTCTCATTTGCTACATGCACACCAAGATTCATTCAGCTAAGGCATCTCCTCTGTCTATAGTTACAGCCCTGGTGGACAAGATTGGTAAGCAATATTATTTTCTGTGGATACTTAGAATTCTTAGTAATCATAAGAGATTATTTTTATTTTTATTTTTTTTTCAACGTTTATTTATTTTTGGGACAGAGAGAGACAGAGCATGAACGGGGGAGGGGCAGAGAGAGAGGGAGACACAGAATCGGAAACAGGCTCCAGGCTCTGAGCCATCAGCCCAGAGCCTGACGCGGGGCTCGAACTCACGGACCGCGAGATCGTGACCTGGCTGAAGTTGGACGCTTAACCGACTGTGCCACCCAGGCGCCCCGAGATTATTGAAATTAGAGGAAATATTTTCGTTTTAATGAAAAATTTTTATGTATATATGCGTATGAAAATGTCTCATGGTATATACTAAAATACATATTTATTAAAATGATCTTTGAGTGGAAGGGTTTTGCATAATTGCAGTTTTATTTTTTTTAGTTTTAAAAATGTTTGTTTATTTATTTATTTTCACGATGTTTATTTATTTTTGAGAGGGAGAGTGCCAGTGGGGAAAGGGCAGAGAGAGGGGGAGACAGAGGATCCAAAGCAGACCCTGTGCCATCAGTAGAGAGCCCAGTGTGGGACCTGAACCCACCAACTGCAAGACCATGAACTGAGCTGAAGTCAGATGTTAACCGAGTGAGCTACTCAGGCGCCCCTCCAGTTTTAGTTTTTATATTCTTTGCATTGTCTACATTTTTCAAAAAGGTATACAGTTCTCTTTTGTATGTCAAAAACGTTCTTTTTAATTTTGAAGACTAAAAAAAAAGAAAAAAGGAAAAGTGGTGGAATTTGCCAGAATATAAAATGAAATTTTCCTTTTGTAATACGGAAAATTTGGGGTGTGGTTTGAACTCAGATTGACTTTCTGTTTCGCAGATATGTGTAAGACGAGCTTAAGTCCAGAACAGGACATCAAGTTCAGTGGCCATGTCAGCTGGGTTGGGAAGACATCCATGGAAGTGAAGATGCAAATGTTTCAGGTATGTATTCGTCTAAAGGTTGCTGGCTTGTTCCAATACAACCAGCTAGTCCCAGCGAAAGAAAAGCATATTTACCTATGCTTTTTACCTATGCTATACCTATGACAGGTATATAGCTCACCAGTTCTAGAAAAAGAATTGAAAATTCATGTCATGCAGATGGTGGGTTATTAATGTGTTCTTCCTGGACAAAGACTGACACTTTGTTTGGTGTCTCGGTTCATTGTTTATTACTTTCAAATCATATATGGCTACATGTCAAGGTGCTTATTTCTGGTTTTGCCCCAGAGAATTTCACAAAAGTCTGAGTTACATCAGGCATGAGTGGTACTTACTGGTTACTGTGTTAGTTTCCTCGGGCTGCTAGAACAAAGTACCACAAACTGGGTGGCTAAAAATAACAAATTAATTATCTCACAGTTTGGCAGCCAGAAGTCCAGAATCAAGGCTTCAGCATGACCATGCTCCCTCTACAGTTTGTAGGGGGAGAATCTCTTTTGCTTCTTCCTATCTTCTCATGGTTTGGTGGCAGTCCTTGGTATTCCTTGGCTTGCAGCTTGAACGCTTTGATCTTGGCTTCCATTGCCACGTGCTCTTTCGCCCTTGGGTGTCTGTGTCTTTGCGTCTCTCCTCTTCTTCTTCTTTTTTATTAAATAATCTCTGTGCCCAGCATGGGGCTGAGACTCATGACCCCAAGATCGAGAGTTGCATGCCCTACCGACTGAGCCAGCCAGGTGCCCCTCTTCTCTTCTTATAAGGACATCAGTAATATGGGATTAAGGGCCCACCCTACTGCAATATGACCTCATCTTAACTGATTATATCTGAAACAGCCCTATTTCTAAGTAAAGGTATGTTCGGAGGTACCAAGGGGTAGGACTTCATATATTTTTGGAGGACACAAGTCAACCCATAACAGTCACTTAGACTAAAGGTAGCAGTTAGGAACAGCCCCACTAAGGAGCAGAACTCTGAGTAGCTGTTATAAAGAAATGAAGAAATTTGACAAGAAACAAGTACCTCAAAGAGGATAATAGCACAGAAATCAGATAATTCAGAGTATGTCCCACGTTTCATTGTGAAAATTTATTTAAGAATGACTCATTCTGGGTGCACCTGGGTGGCTCGGGTAAGCTGCCAGCTTTGGTTCAGATCATGATCTTGCGGTTGAGTTTGAGCTCTGCCTTGGGCTCCGTGCTGACAGTGCAGAGCCTGCGTGGAATTCTCTCTCTCTCTCTCTCTCTCTCTCT